AGCTGAAATAATTTCAAAGTAATTAAATTTTTGAAATAAATGATCTTACAAAGACTTCTCTTGCGGCACACCAATGAGTTTACGAATGCCCTGTTTCTGTAGAGCATGAGAGCATTTTGATTAAACAGCTTATTTTTTTAAAACAGGCAATGTTTTGAAAAATGTTTAGTGTGTTTGAAAACAAAGAGATAAGAAAATAACATGTTGTCTTTTACAAGAGGCAATAATTCTTGAGATTTGCGATAATAAGCGTCTTTCCCTTGAGGGCCTTCATTCTACATTGGAGGGATAATAACATATGTTGACTATTCTTCTGTATGGTATTGATGTGGAGAAATAATGGAATAAACTTTTACCACGTATTATGTCCACCAGGAAATATTTATTCGAGATGTTTTTGTCTGGCTTTTGTGTTAGCTAGTTCTGCAGTTTTCTTAAACGATTAACTTCATTTTATTCAGTATTGTTTATTTAAAAATTACATGATTTGACTAATTTGGTTTATTTTGATAGCTTCTAATAACTTAAAACTTCTTGGTTTTGTTGAAGCTTTCCAAACCTTCAGTCAAAAATAATATCGGTAGTTACTCTTTGCAGATGCTATGGTGATCCTCTCAATAAATAATTTTCAAACAATTTCATAAATTAGTGTTGAAAAATAAAAAATACTGCTTATTTTTTTTATTTCTGTGTCTTCTGCATGTTGGCTTCCTATTGCACTCCACCTTCTAGTAGAGACAAGACTAATTATATTTTCATTGCATTGCACTAGTATCAATATCTTGTATTTTCTTGTCTATGTTTTAGGCCGCTTTATGCTTTTATCTATCTACAATATATTTACTGTGTAACATTCTTAATCTTTAATCACCAAAATTGTGGAATAGTAGGATGACGAAATAGCAAAAATCCTCTGATCTCAACCACGCGTTTTCCTCAAAAATATTATTTGATCTTTAAAGTAGCAAATCAGAATTTCTTTTTGTTTCTTTCATTTTTCCCAATACGATTAAACACTAAAATTATAGAATTGACTGATAATTAAATCAAAAACTTCATGATCATTATTTTACTTTACCTAATTGTATGTGAGAAAATATTGGCAAAATAGTTTGAAATCTTAGTCTAGTTTCCATTGCTATCATTGAAACATTATACTTTGACCACCCTGTCTTAAATTTCAACTTCAAAGTGTATGCATGAATGAATTTTATTACCACATTGTGCAAAAATATTAGTTTTTACCTACACATTGTGCTTATGCAGTGAAACCCCTTTACGCCGAGCACCTAAATTTGCACCTACAGGTGATCGTCTTAAGGGTTGTCATCGTGAAGGGGTTTCACTTATCAAGTCTGCACTCTTGGGCATGGATGTAAATTTATACGTACATATGCTATGTATGTATTAGTTGTTTTTGTTTTGTTTTTCTTCATAGATACTGCATATAACATGAAATTTATTATCAATCCTAAAAAACTATTGTGCATAAACTTTATTAATCTCCTTCGGATTCTTTATTTACCTAAAACATAAAATCTGATATATGCCTGTTTAAATTTTTTCACATGTTCAGGCACAATAATGTGTTCATATTCTTTTTCAATCTCATTTAGCAAATTTATTGTAATTTTGAAATTCATTTGTCAGAAACCTTGTACGGGAGAGTGAATAATAATGGTTTGACTTGAAACCTATCATTTTCTCCGCCACTTTCCTCATTGTTGTTGACCAGGCTAACGTCCAAAACATCATCCCGTGTTTCATTATCGGTGAAACAGTCGACCTTCTCGCTTATATTATAAACATTAATACTGCTGACTTAGGCTCAATCCTTGATTGCTTCTATACTGCTGTTAGGCACTGTTTCTTCAGTCAAATCAGCACTTCCAATACCACTGTTTAGAAAACAATTTCAGATTGTTTCATGTTTCACTTTATTCCAAGCCCAACAGCATGCGAAATTGTAGTAGATTTTGCTAATTCTGTTGTGGCATCCTCCATTGGAGCAACTAATGATCTCAATAGTTTTTTTCAAATAGAAGATTTTGAACATTAAGTTACTCCCTGGTCTAGGGTTTGCAAGCAAGATGTCATAGTTCACAAAAATAATTTTATTTCTTTATAAGAAATGTTTTCGATGCAATGTCATTTTCTTTACCTGAAAGTTTCTACATATCTCTCGGAATATCCTTGTCAAGTAGTTCTGGAGACAACTCAAACACAAGCACTCGGGCACTGTAAAAAGTACTACACTTCACAGGATGGAGATAAAATCGGTCTAACATCACTTCTATGAAACTCTACATGTGACTAACCATAAAAAGCATTCAGGAAGACTCGCGAAGAAATGCAATGCCCATTATATCCATTGGTACCGTGAATTGTGAAAAAATGATCAAAATTCAAATCTGATGTAAAATTTACAACTGCATGACTATCGGAGGCTAAAGACTCTCCACTCAAGCATATTTTGTGATAGTTTAAATAAAAGGTAGTTGGCCCCCAGATGTTTTGTAGCGTGCTATTATTAACTGTTTGTGTAATATAAACCTTAAATTGTAATATTGTGAAATTAATAGAAAAAACTCTTTATATGGTGTATTTGATTTCATTGTGCAAGATCTAATGGATCTATTGAAACCCTAAGACATTTTCTCTTTGAGATAACATGCAAATGTAAGATGGTTGTTGAAGCTGTTCTAGTGAGTTTTCCAAGTTTACAATGTGTTTTTAGATTCAAAAATTTTTATTGAGGTGTATGTAAATGCAGTGCCCAGCAATTATTTGACGCATGTCCTTTCGCCAAAAATAATTCGGTTTTATTGGGTATGGTATACGCAGGTTTTCTTTGCGTATTTTCCTACATACATGTACTAGTTTGGTAAATATAAATGTTTCCATTACATTCCTGGAACCCCATTGAACTGTGTTCACAGAAATAGCGATTATATTGGTCCAGGATATGTAAATCTCCCTCATTCCATATAGTCTTCAAGACAATAACAGTATTTTTCAATACAAGATAATGTTTTGTTTTTTCCATATATTCAGTAAGTAGAACAGAAAATTCTTAACTTTTCTGCAGGCACATCCCATATGTACCCAATTTTCTAATGCATCCATGATGCTAGACACTTCAACACATGTTCCATCATTTTTCAAACTTACTGATTTTTGTCTTGGATGTTTTCTGCATGATTTCACTCGATTGTAGATCTTATTAGTTGATTCACAGCAGTATGGAAAAGCCCTAGCCTTGCCACTACATAGAAAGTTGTGCCAACCATCCCTAAATGAGACTTCATCCCAAGAGAGTGTACCTTAGCAGCCTCAGCCATCAGGCTTGCCAATTTAGATGGTTCCCATTTATTACCTTAGAAATAAATGTTAAATAATTAAAGTTTTTAATCGTAATTGATCGTGAACGGGTGTTGTAGAGGGGAAACAAAAGAAAACTAGCTGCTAAAAGCAGCACATACTTTCTCTATCTTAATAACGATCACATATTATTATACTGCAATTTCTGTCCAGATCAGTGGTTCCCAACGGGTTCTATTGTCCCATATGAACCAGCAATTTGTAGGTATAAACAAGATCACATTGATTACCACAAAAAACTTGATAATTGATTGCTTCTGATATAGAGCAACAAAACATAAAGTAATAAATTACAATTCATGTCCTTTCATTTTCTATCCATCATTCTATCTTGGGATAAGGGCTGTACCTTGGCTGGTGAAATTATCGCACAAAACATTTAACCCCTTCCATGATTTTCCCTTCCCCCTTCCATGATCCCCTTCAATGTAAAAAGTAACTAAATATTAACAAAATATCTGTTAATTATTAGACAACAAATTCTCGTCATAAAGAATTTTAAAAATAATTGAGATTCTCTCCTTGGTTGAATGAATTTGCATGATTCGCAATGGTATGTTGATGTTTTGTAGGCTATCAAGTACGTTTTCAATACAATAGAAAAACTTAGAACTTCATATAAACACACACAACCTCCATAGTACACCAAATGATACAATAAAAGACTGAAAATGCTTATTAATTTTGTTTCCTTTGAAGTTCTATGGTGGTTAGATACATTTATGGTAAGTTACAATGGTTTTTCATGTATTTAAATTGCAATCGGCTCAGACTTCAAAATTTCTACATATCTTGCATAAAGTCAACCAAGAAGTTAATTTGCATTATTTTTCCAATCCCTTATGATGACCAGGATTGTTTTTTGTCAGAAATGCTGAGATTATGAGCTTCAAGAGTTTAATAGTTTTTAAAGGTTTGCAATTTATTATATTTGTGGGCAATATAAGGAAGCAATGGCATTGATTCAATCGGATTTAAATAATGTGTGTTAAATTCAATAAGAAATTTTGTCATGCACGTAATCTTTTTAGAAGTAATAACCTCTTCCTCTAATTCATAAAAACAACAAAACTAGAAAGACCATATTTGCTGAAACAATTAAGGGAATGGGAGGGAATGTAGATTAATGAAATTGGTAAGAAATTGCTGTTTTTAAACCTTTTTATGAAAAGACTTCATTTGAAATAAAAGTAAATTTTAGTGCACAGAAACACAAAATTAAACAATTCTTAGCTTGAGAGAAATTCCTTCGTCAAAGTGTTGTATCTTCAAGGGCTTTTCCTTAATCTAAGTATTCTCTTAATCTGTGTTACTTATTTCCAAAGCCGAAATTAAAAGAAAATCATGCAACCTCTGGCCGAATGGTACAGTTTTGTACATTTTAGATACTCAGGAACTCTGCGAAAATCCAAAAACAGTTTAACAGTTTCAATTTTGACTCAAAAATGCAAATATTTGATTGTGTCATGCCACCTAGTCACATACTGCAGGTACAGACTGTTCATGCATAGATGACATTATACAAAAGCTATGCTCTAAGGCTGATGCTATCTGCCATAGAAGAATTGCCATTGACATGTTGCTTTATGTAACAGCAAATTCTTTCTGATAATCTTGTTATGTAAAGAACTGCTGTACTCTATAGATCATATGGTATTGTTGTGTTTGTGAAGACTATTTTTGTTAAAATATTTTATTTATTGTCATATGTGTTAGAGAGAATTTCATTAGTTGTTGTTCTTCTGTCATAAGTATGCTACTGTTTGGGAAGCCATTTTGTATGGTTTTGTTCAGCATTTTTTTGCTGCTGCAGCTGTAGGCCACTAGTTACATAATGTAATAATAAATCTTGTCTTATACTTAAAGGAAGTGGAACAAGGAGAAACTGAAATAAATACTAATGTGATAATAGTGGCAAATGAAATTGGAAAAATAATTCTGCCAGATTCAGATTGAAGTAATATTAGTATTGTAGTGTGAATAACAGTTCAGTAATTCTTTGTCTTTTACTAAGAAATAGTATAGCATTGTATTTCTTAACCAGAGACAATATCTACTTTGTAGTTGTGAAAGAGTGTGAAGACTTATGTGCTTTAAGGTTCAGAGCAACAGCAACGCTTAGCATAAAGGTAAGTGATGAACAAGGTAAGCACAATCAGGCTGAATCCTTTGGAGATTGCATCTACATTGGTAAGTATTCTCGTGGGTCAGGACTAGCATTACATGACAGGTTAGTAACATGGATAAGGGTAGATGTAAGTTTGAGAGGGCAGAGGCCTAGGCCAGCCCACATCCTTGTGAACCCAGGAGTGTTGCACATCTTGGGATGCACTTAGAAGTATTATTTATTTAAATTGAAGTGACCACTTTTTTATTATTAATTGCTAGCACACAACATGTTGTTTATACAACACTCTTGGTAGTCTATATTTGGGAAAGGGGTCATGCATACATGCAATAATGCAAGCTTGTTTTGAAGGGGTAATCTGAACATGAAGTATTGGAAAGAGTAATGAAACAATAATTTGATTGGAGATTTGAACATTATGGAGATGGCCTTATACCAACAGAGAATGTTGGAGATAAGTGTTCCGAGGAAATTGCTGTGAAGCATTAGTACCCATGTAGACACGCTTAGATTATTGTAAAATATTGATTATTGATTCAAGATCAGATGTTTTAAGAGTAATTACACATGTATCTGTAGTGCCAACACTTGTTTGGGCATTCTGTGTGAATTTAAAAATGTTCATCATAAGATCTTACTTTTTTATTGGGATCCTTTAAAACAAGACGTTTATATTAAACGTTAGAACTAAGAAATATGTGTTAGGTATGGGAGTGGAGTGTAAACTAGTGTTAGGAACAGCTCCTGTTGGCTGGTGGCAGAGGGGCAGAATGTCCCATAGGGTTGTGGAGGTGGACCATGTAAGTCCTGGCAGGTAGAGATCAGCCTTGTGCTGGTGGAGTTGCCATGTGCTGGTCAACAAGCTGTGGTAGTCTGTAAGAAATGTGATTTGGTCACTTTGGTTTAAATATGTACAGTACCATGTAACCTTAGGCTAAATATTTATATACACTTAAGATGAAGATCTTTCTTGGATGAAAGTATAGTTTAAATAATACTTCATGTATTATTATGACTTATAGGAGCCACCATTGCCAGAATGGAGTGACATGAGAAGACAAGTCTGTTGTAAGCTTGGGTAGGCAGGCACTGCTCTGCAGTGTTTGGGGCTGGAAGCTCTGTGGGTATTGTTTGTAGATGTTAAGCAACGGAGGTGCGAGCCCTGGCTCCTTTATGCTGCTTCACTGGCAGCATTGAGGCTTAGGCTAAGCGTAAGACTTAAGAATATATCTGGGGAGGGTGCTGTTGCTTTTTTCCTGAGTTGCAAATGTGGCTCAGGAAAAGCAATCGTAGATGAAAATAGTCAGAGCTGCTGCAGTTGCTGCAGACAGGTGCATCCTGTCTTGGGGGGTGGGGTAGCAGAGTTGGATGTGTGCCTCCAAGCTACTTAACATTTTGTTGAGCTTACAATTCCAGAGGAGGTGCTAGCGATGTTGCTATGGATTATGGAGCTGGGGGCCAGGTGTGCTCGCTCTAATTTCATGTCTACTACAACCCTATGCGTTACACACAGACCAATGTCTATCCGTCGGCCCAAAGACGAAAAATGAGGGGTTTTGAGGGCTTCGTGCGCCGAGCTGTAGTAGTTGTACCAACTGACGAGGAATTCAAGAGGCGCATAGAGAAGCGTGAGAAACTGGAGGGCAAAGACGTTCCAGACTCTGCTGTTCTCGAGATGAAAGGTAACTAGAGGTTTTCCTCAACACACAGGTCTCATTGTATTTGGTTTTACTGATGTGTGTCCTTCTATCTTTTCATGCCTCTAAACCAGCTTCCTACCATTGTATTTACCCTGTCCTTTAGCTTTCATTGTTATTCACTGATTCACTGTAAAGTTGCAAACCCATTAACAATTTTCTGAACACAGTATTGTATTGTACTTTTTATTTTACTTCAGATTTCATGTAATTAGGGAATTTGCCATTTTCTTGCGTGTCTGTTGTAAAATTTTTGCTCCATTATGAAGTACATAGATGTTTATTATTGATTGTGCAGTCTGCCATGTGCACCAGGGAAACCTAAGGCTTTTCTTGTTTTAAATGTTCTTGGAAAAATTATTAAGTTCGTAAGCAATTGCTTTTCCACAATCAGTGTGTTGAGGATTTTATATGTAATGGCCAACATGCTGCATGTTCCAAAATTCAAATTGTTCTTGGCCGGTCAGTTAAGAGATAAAGTTATCACACTTGGTTCACCCTATGCACATGGCACTTCTATTATCTTGTTTTGATCCAATGTTTACTTGCAGCCAACTTTGTGCTGCCTACCGTGGGAGATGTCTTCGAAATGGTGGAGTACACAGAGCTGCCTGAACAGGAAGCCCGTGCTTTAGTTACACAATACAACGAAGAAGGGCGCAAAGCTGGGTATGGCCAGCAACACAAGCGACCCCGTCTGGACAACCGAGAGCGTGGTGGATCCAGTGCTGGTTTTCGTGGGGGTGGTGGTGGTTTTAGACAGCGTGGCGGTGGCAGTGGTAAGCATGCAATAAAGGATTTTAGTTATTGTGGTGTGTTGTTGAATTATAAGAAATTGTTGTTATCTTCATTTGTATGCATTTTGTTTGATTAGGTCGCCCTGATGTGAAAGGTCGGGGAGGTACTGGTTGGCAGCCACGAGGCGGTGCAGGTGGCAGCGGACGATGGGATTCGTAAGTACAAATCTTGTCACTAATGCTTAGAAATAGGTCCTGTCAGAGTTGAAGAATGTTTTTCTTGCACAATTTTATTAAAATTTTTTTTTTAATAGTTATTGTACATTCTTTTTTACTTTCTCATATATATGTGTGTGGATGTATTGAGACACGTGTGTAATGGTGTAGAAAATTGCTTATTTTAATGAAAATACAGGTTTAAAAACTTGTGTGGTGGTTGTGCTTATTGTTTTTGAGTTTTTCCTTTCCCTTTTCTTTTTTTTTTTTCTTTTTTTTTCTTTTTTTCTTTTTTCTTTCTTTTTTCTTTTTTTTTTTTTTTTCTTTTCTTTTTCTTTTTTTTCTTTTCTTTTTCTTTTTTCTTTTTCTTTTTCTTTTTCCTTTCGTTAACACTTTCATTACAGAAATCTCTTACACATTATTGAGTTTGGGAATACGATTGCAACAAATCATTTCTAATGAAGTTTTGGGTGAAAAGGAGTTTTAAAGTGCAGTTGTATATGCATTCAAGCATTTTCTTAAAAAATGCTCCAAAATTTTCAGTAAAATGTGCTTGCAGGACCAAATTTTACCCTTCTTTAATATTCTTAGTCATATTCAATTCCTATTAAGGATCCGAAAAGTTGGGAAAGAATGTTGTTTAGGCACCAATGTATTACAGCTGAGAAGAGTGTGGGGCATAATCAAAATGATAACCTGGATTTAAAATATAAGGAATTGAACTATCATGAGCCAGTATTTTGTAGCAGCACTGATTGTATTTATTAGTTATTTGTATAATTAATTGCATCACTTATTTTTATTGTTTATTTAATTAGTGCTATTTACAATAACTTAATCAATTACATGCAACTTTAGCAAATATTTCTCCTCTTCCTGTTCAGGTACATTGTTTGCAAAAGCTACCTTTTCCATAATCTACAAAATTTTACAATAGTCCTAAATCAATGAATAAGTTTCTTGTAACAGGAAGATGGAAATGCATTATATTTTATTCATATATTATATTCCCTAGTTCCATATTATATAATGTTCCATATTTTATTCATATACTAAATATTATCTATATATTTATTTATATTCCTTCATTAGAGACCTAAGAATACAAATTTCATTTTAGCAGGAAGGTGGCAGTAATCTCCCTATCGGAAAGCAGGCAACCTTTTTTTTTTTTATTTATTTATTTATTAATTATTTATATATGTGACGGCATGTTCATCGGAGTCATGGGAATACTTGGCATGTTAACTTCCCCCTTTAACTAAAGCAGTTTGTCTCATCTTGTAGATTTACTGCATGTAAAAGAACCTCCAGCCTTAAAGAAGCCTGTGAACTATATTTGAAATCACCCGAGTAATGCCTTATTTCTCTGCTAGATAGTGAAGGAGCTTAGCAAAATTTGCGTGGTTTGATCGAAGAGCACACATGATGGCACTAGTCTTGCTATGTAAAATAAAGCCCAAACTGACTTAACTATTAACATATGAGCATGTAAGAACGTTTATAGCATGATCTGCTAATTCCACAAGAGAAGTTCAAAAACCAAAAATAAAAATAGTGTTTGATCTAAAAGCCGTGAGATGTTACCTTTACTAGCAGTCTTGTGCTGAACTCAATATTTTAGAATATTGTTGGGGCAGATATGATAACATAAGGTTTGTCTTGTGAAAGTGTTGGTACATGCTTGTGAGAGCATATGCATAATTTCACTTTTCTGCCAAGAACTTCTATTCTAAAATACTGTTTGCAGCCGACCACAACAAGCTTCCGGCTTCCGTCGTGGAAGTAATGCTGCTGGGGGAGGTGGCGGAGGAGGTTGGCGTGGTGGCAGTGGCAGTAGCAGTGGAGGCCGTGGGAATTGGGATTCATATGGATCTCGTGGTTACGACAGTCGCAGCCGACCGAACAGTGGTGGACGCCAGAACACTGGAAGTGGAAAAGTGAGTAGAAATATTTCCTTAATTTTTAGGTGAAATGTGATTTATCGTCAACTTTATACATAATATAATTTAATTACATAAAAATAACTTGTTTGTATTATAACTAGAGGTAAAAGTTTTGCCATCAATTGATTTTTTGGTATCAAGGATCCCACAAAACATGGATTAGGCAACACCATGTGTTAAGGGTCGCCCCTTAAATTGAACAACAGGATTTTTCAATTTTTTTCATTATCAGGGTCTGGCAATAAGAGTTTTTATGCCAATAATATCAGTTTTTTATGTACCTTTACATAACTTGCTCTGCACTGCATGAGCAGTGGTGAGAAAGGAAAAGAAGAATAGCGCATTAAGCAATCTCTCTTTGAAATGAAAATTAAAGCAATGAAGGAAAATTATCAAAAAGAGGATTAATAAAGATCAGTGATTTTGTGATTGTTTTCAAATGTGATCAGAGAATTATAATTTATTTTATTTACGAAAGTTTGCACAATATATTATATTATATAAACATATGCATAAGACATGAAATACGATGAGAACTTTCTTATTATTGTAATATTTATCACTCTAAGAACAATGCCCATTAATATTAAAAAATTAGAAATTAAATACAAGAGAATGCGCAAGTTAGTCAGAATCAAAGAACTATATTAATATAAAAAGACAAACGCCTACCCAAAAGATATTAAATTTTAAAAATTCAAATATTCTACTCCTGGCATCCAAAAAAAAGATGCGGAATTATCACAAATCTCTATACTTGATAAATGGTTGCCGAAAGAAAAAAATTTAAAAAAAAAATAATAGTGCAGGTATGTAAGTAATGCATTGGGATATGTAACACAGGGCAAATGATAATAACTCCATGGAAAACAAATTTGTATTACTAGCAGTCACCCTGGTAATACTTTGCATTGTTTTTTGTACTACTCTTGTGACTTAGAAGAAGTAAATTTACTACATCCTCAACATAAGTTGAAAAACACTTTCTGCTAATACTTTTCTAAAACTCCGTGATACACAACTATACATTTGCTATTGCTTGAACTGCCATTCAATTATTTTCTGTTTTTATCAATTACGTTGCAGGGTTGGGGTGGAGGATATAGCCAAAGCGGCGGTGGTGGTAGTGGTGGTTGGGGTGGATCCAACAACAGTGGTAGCAGTGGTGGAAGTTGGGGACAACAGAGTTACAATCAACAAGGTGGCTGGAGTGGACAACAGAACTACAGTCAACAAGGTGGTTGGAAAGGTATTGCTTCTTGCTGCAGCAAAAAGTTGGTTGGTTCCAAGAATTGTAGAAAGTTTGTGCATTTGGTAAATTAACAGCATTAAATATTTACAACATGGCTATATTGAAATACATATTTCCAGAATGTTGTGCATTTGAAAAAATTAACATGTAATTAAGGTCCGTTCATCGTAACTTTACTCAGCCTGTAAGCAAACTCTGTGCGCAATCTAGAAGTACTCCGTAGTTTGTATTTGGTTGTGCCTTTCACTCCATACTGCTGTACTTACTATTTTCTCTTGTATTTCTGAAATGTGCCGAAATTGACAGCCACATGCGGATAATATCCGTAACTTCGCAGGCGAGTACGACAAATGTATTCCTTCCCGGTGTCACTCTTTAGTGTGTGTGAGTATATGCCGTTCATGCTTTTGAATGCGTTGACTGGGTTAATCAACATATTTCGCGATGTGAATGCTTTTTTGTTTTGACTTCATTTATGTAGTGAGTAAAGAAATAAATTTTGAAAGGAATCTAACTTGTATACCACTCAACTAAAATGAGTGGTGTCTGTCGGCAAATGAGAATGAGTAACCACCTCATGCATTTGTTTACATGCTGAATATTGGTATTTTGGTGAGTTGTCATTGGCACTTAAAAAGAAATAATTATGATTAGTCATTGTGAACAATATTGTTTACAACAATAGTGGTGTTTGATGACTTAGCCATCATCCTCAGTTTTTTAGTACGAGAATTATAAAAAACAAATTGAAATAAGAGTAAAGAAACAAAAATTAGGATAAAGAAATCTAATTTTTTGTTTTAATATTGCTTAATGACCAACATCTAATAGATCTATTTATCCCAACTCAAAATGATTTCATTTACATGCTGAGTAATGTTATGGTGAACAGATTTTAGATAATTTATTTTTAGATATTTTTATGAGATAGAAATTGGGTATGTGTGTTATCTCTTTTGACTTTTATTAGTGGAAAATTGTCTATTTTCTTTATCCGTTTGAAATGTCATCTTTTATTTCTAGTCTCCAAAGATTAAAAACTTGTTTCAAAAAAATTAAAATACATTTAATACAAATTAAATACATTTTGATCTCCATATATGTATAGTTTAATGAAAACAATAATGTATTATAATTTTGGTTGTTGTCCACTCTAGGTTATGGCCAGCAGAGCAGCTATGGTCAAGGTCAAGGTGGTGGTAGTGGAAGTTACAGCCAGCAAGGGGGATATCAACAGGGATATGGCAATGGTAATGGGTTTCAAAATTGGAATCAGCAGTATTATAATCAAAGTGGTTACCAGGGTGGTAACCAAGGATGGGGTCAGGTAAGTACTCTATCTAGTGTGGTACGCATTTCATATTGCAGGTAGTCTGGGCAATTCCATTTAACCCGTAATTACCTATATAATTATAATTTTTGAAATATGAACTGTACTTAACATTTTTATCAGTTTGAACTTGGAGTTACATTATTTCTTTTTTATTTCTTAGCCTTT